TATTTATTGATTTAAAAATAGAATGAAAATAGCCACCATTACTGCATTTACTAATGTGAGCCCTTGGGGCTTTGCTGAACAAGCCAAATCTGTCTCCGGGATTCTAAAATCTGATCTTGTGGAAAATGACACCAATCCACAAAAAGAAATGGACATGCAAGAACAAGACACAGGGCCCAGGGCCTTTTGCAGGTGTCCTCGTCACTGAGTTCATTCATCCCTGAGCTAGTGACTGAGCCAGGAAATTGTTCTTTTTTGCTTAAGCCAACTTGAATTAGATTTCTGTCTCTTGCAACCAAAAAAGTCCTGACTAGGCTGGGTACAGTGGCTCATGGCTACAATCCTAGCACTTTGGGAGGCCAAAGTGAGAGGACTGCCTGAGCCTATAGGTTTGAGACCAGCCTGGGCAGCTTGGTAAGACCTCATCTCTACAATAAATTTTTTTAAAAAATGAGCTGTGCGTGGTGGCGCACGCCTGTAGTTCCAGCTACTTGGAAGGCTGGGGCAGAAGGATCACCTGAGCCCAGCAGGTCGCGGCTGTAGTGGCTGTGAGTGTGCCACTGTACTCCAGCCTGGGTGACAGAGTGAGGCCCCGACTCAAAAAAAAAGTCCTAACATACTCCTAGATTAATAGAGACAATATTTCAGGAATTAGCAATAATGCAATGAAATATGAATATGAATTTGAAATTGGAATATGAGTATTGAAATATGAATATTGAACTTGAAATTGGTGTTTGATTACAAGGTTTTAGATAGAAATCCTGACCAACTCATTCAACCAAACTTATACAAATATTCTGTACTGCCGGGCTTGGTGGCTCAGCCTGTAATCCCGCGCCTTTGGGAGGCTGAGGTGAGTGGATTGCCTGAGCCCGCGGGTTCGAGACCCGCCTGGGCAGCGAGACCTCATCTCTACAATAAATCAAAAAATCAGCCGGGCGTGGTGGCGCATGCCTGTAATTCTGGCTACTTGGAAGGCTGAGGCGGAAGGATTGCCGGAGCCCAGCAGGTCGAGGCTGCGGTGGCCGGGAGCGGCCACTGCACTCCAGTCTGGGCGACAGAGTGAGACTCCAACTCAAAAAAACTCCCCAAAAAACAAAAAACAAATATTCTGTACTATGTGCTGGGAACAAAGGCAAATTTTTAAAAAATTATCTCTCCTGTCAAAAAACTCCCAATCCAGTTGGGGAGACAGGAAAGAACCATATGGTATGTGGTGACTGCAGTGAGTCTTGAAGGACATTACATGGGTAAAATAGGGAGTAAGGACATTTTGGTTGAATAGAGTGAGCCGGGTGAGGCTGGGTGGAGGTGAAATATCGACATTGCCAGCAGTCCATTATGATACAACATGAGGGGCTGGGGAGGGTGTTGGGGGCTGGTGGTGGGATGGAAGAGTGGCCAGGAAGGAGTCTGACAGAGGCCAGGAATTGTGTCTTGAAGGTCTTGGCGAAAAATTGGCACTTTATCCCCAAAGCCTGGGGAAGCCCCTAGTGGATTTTATAAAAGGGAGAAACTTGATGCATGTTGGAAATATCACTGTAAGATGGGGATAATGGTTACCTGGCAAGGTTGTTGTGGAGATTATAGACATTATTGAAAGTGATGGCCAGGCACAGTGGCTCAAGCCTGTAATCCCAGCACTTTGGGAGGAGGAGGTGAAAGGATTACCTGATCTCAGGGGTTCAAGACCAGCCTGAGCAGCATGGTGAGACCTTGTCTCTACAATAAATCAAAAAATTAGCCAGGAGTGGTGGTGCGTACCTGTAATACCAGCTACATGGAAGACTGAGGTGGAAGGATCGCCTGAGCCCAGTAGGTAGAGGCTGTGGTGGCTGTGAGTATGCCAGTGCTCTCCAGCCTGGGCGACAGAGACTCTGACTCAAAAAAAAAAAAAGTGACAATTGCCATGCTTAAAGATGGACAAGTCAGAAAATGCCTCCTCCTGTTCCAAAGACTGTTGGAGCATCCATCAGTATGTGTGGCTATGGAACATTTCTACCTGAGGCTTAGTCTTGCTTTAAGGTAACCCTGAGGGCTGCAATAAAGTGGGGTCTAAATTCCAGGTCAGTCTTGGGACCTGTTGGACCATTTTGGTTTCCTCCAAACTGAAACATTTCAAACCAAGATGCCATTTTTACAATCATTCTGGAACTAAAAGGATTCCAATAACCACTGCAAAATCTTTTCACTGACTAAGTTGGGAATAAAGTGGTCTATAACCCTTATGAATTTAGTTTTTTACTAGGCTTATTTAGGTCAATAAATGTTTTTGGCTGTGCATGGTGGTTCACATCTGTAATCCCAGCACTTCAGGAGGCCAAGGCAGGAGGATTGCTTGAACCCAACCTGGACAAAATCGTCTCTACAAAAAATAAAAAACTTAGCCTGACATGGTGGTGTGTGCCTGTATCAGCTACTGGGGAGGCTGAGGTGGAAGGATTGCCTGAGCCCAGGAGGTCAAAGCTTTGGTGAGCCGTGATCGTGCCGTTGAACTTCAGCCTGGGCAACAGAGTGAGACCCTGACTCAAAAAAGAAAAAAAGAAAAAAAGAAAAAAAGAAAAAAAGAAAAACTTTTTGGACTATAAACTATTTCTAAAGAATGCACAATAAGGAAAAAATACTTCATTGCAACATAAAATATCACATAAATCTTTGCTCTCTTAAAGCAAGGACAGGGAAGGGAGAAGAAAGAAAAAAGAGTTCATCTCAGGCCACCAAAACATGGCAAGGTTTCCTTCCATTGTCACAAGTCACTGGGTTAGACAGTGTTATTTCACTTTCTGACGGGTTTCAAGGGACCCCTCACACCATTTGTTTAGGCTAGTGATTTAGAAATTTTAAGGAGAGAAAAGAAACGATTTGAGAAACACAATCATTTAAAAAGGAAAACATCAATTTGAAGTAATAAAATTTTATCTCACCATCAGAAAAAATGCTCATTTTGTGTTAAAGGCAAAACTTATCTCAAATGAGAGGAAACTGAAAAACATCTGAAAATATGGCATTTTATCTGCTAACTTTGGAAACAATATTTACTTGTCAGTTAAGGCTTTTTCCTGTTTATTTGTATCAGCTAACCAATTTTTAAGACTTTGAATTAATTATTAAAATACATTTTTCATGAAAATTCTAATTGCTGACATTTTTCCAGGTAATAAGAACTATTCAACAACTTAAGAATAATTTTTACACAAGTTAAATAAACATGCATGTATTTGTATAGAAAACCTTGAAAATAATAAATAAGAAATCACTAACAGTAATGTCCTTGGGTTGGGTTTTTTGGATGGAGAGAGAGAGAGAGGGATTCAACTTTTTCACTTTAGATCCTTTGATACAATCTGATGTTTTCAAAATTTACATGAGCATAAATTGTTTTAATAATTTAAATAACTAAATAAAAGGAATATTTTTCTAATTTTTGTATGCATAATCTTGGTAGCTATTAAGTAGCTGTAGATTTCTCCCGGCCGGGCGTGGTGGCACATGTCGGTAGTCCCAGTTACTTGAAGGCTGAAGTGGAAGGATAATCTTGAGCCCAGCAGGTTGAGGCTGCAGTGGCTGTGAGTGTGCCACTGCACTCCAGCCTGGGCAGCAGAGTGAGACTCTGACTCAAAAAAAAAAAAAAAAAAAAATTTCTCCCCTGTAAGGTTTTATTTGCCTTACACATTCATAATATATTCTACATACAACTCTATTCAAAGATGTATAAATGACTTTGAAATCCTAATGCAATCTGCAACAGCAGATGTGACTGAATCAATAGTATAATGAACATGCATAATAATGCAGAAAGTTCGAAAAGAAAAGAAAAGAAGGGTTAGCAGATATTTTTATATGTTCAAATTCAGACATAGAATAATTTTGTGTTCCTGGACATCTTCTTCTGTTTCTATATTTTTAACTTTCTATTATTAGAATCACATTACTTTCTCTAGCACATTATAAAATCATATGGTAAAATTTTTTTTATTTTAAAAATGTAACAGGTGTTCAGAGTAATTTATTTTCCCAAGTCAACTCTTTGACTCACAAAGTTAATTCGGATTCAAGATATTAGTTTCAATGGGAGGCTAAATCTCTTGAAAATTCCCAAAAGATTATTCTCTTAAAAACATTCTTAATGAAGAAAGTCAGTGTTAATTTTATTGTCGTTGATAAATCCCATGTCCACCACAGCTGTGTTTTACTCTGTAACCTTAGGCAAGTTGTTTAATCTCACTAAGCTTCAATGTTTTTCATCTTTAAAATGGGAATAATAGTGGGACTAGTTCACAAGCTTAAGAGGATCAAATGTGACAATGCATATGTAGTCTGAAGTACATCATAAGCACTCAAGAAATATTAGCTATTATTTTGCTTGCATTTTCATGATTGTTTTAATAATTTTGACATTTCCCAACATAATCTCTAGCTTTTGAAATATACTGCTTTAAGACTGTTTTAGGAGAGCACATTCTTCCCAGTTTAGTGTAAGCTCCCAGAACATTTAATTTCATCTTTCTTGCCATGTAACACAAGTAAAATCAGCAGTGAAGTATACTTATTTTAATTTCTTAATGTATGAGTTAGCTAACGTTTATTTAACTTATTATAGCTCAGTATCACCAAGGAAAACTATACTAACAACAAATACATATCTGAAATGATTATGCCCTAACATAATTCTGAAATGACTGCATGTTGTCAGAAAAGAGTTCCCCCACTTAAATTGATAAAGTACTGGTTTTCCACAGTATTAAAGTAAACTCATAATCTCACACTCTAATATATAATTATAGATTTAAACGTGGCTTCAAAGTGCAACTGGATTAATGCATTAATAATAGCTTAGATAAGTAAAACATATACTATCTTAAATATAAACTTTGAGGATAGAGCTTTGAATTCGTCTAAAATTAGTTGTGTTGGTTTAAGAAAAAAGAGATATTTGAACAGAAGTTACATTTCTTGGTGTTTTCTGAAGGTACAAAAAGAAGCCAGCTATACAGTACCTTGATGAGGTTGTGGCCCACAGTGTAGACAGCTGCTAAATTTCCCTTCTTGCCAGGAGCATGCATACCTGTCCCATATCCATGCCAAGCAACTAGATACGGGTTGTGAATTGTGATCCAATATTTGACACGATCTCCAAACGTCTGGAAACAGTATGTGGCATAGTCGTTGAAGATGTCTATCATGGTATCATTTTTCCACCCTCCGTATTTTTCTTGTAGCATCAAAGGCAAATCCCAGTGGTACAGAGTAACTACAGGTTCAATATTTCTAAGCACCAGAGCATCTAAAAGACTATTATAGTACTGGAGACCTTTTGCGTTGGCAAGGGCTACTGTCCCATCAGGGAAGAGCCTTGGCCAGGAAATTGAAAATTGATAAAAAGAAACTCCTAGAAAATCCAGGGCCGATAAGTCTTTTTCCAGAAAAATATAACTGTCACTGGAACCATTGTCACCGCTGACATTCTTGAGGTGTGTGCTGATGAAATGATCCCATATGGAGGGTCCTTTTCCATCCTCCTTCCAACTCCCTTCCACTTGGAAAGCTCCAGTCCCAACACCCCAGAAAAAGTTTTCAGGGAAAGTGTCATAGAGAAACAGCTGATTTTCATTTACCGGACTCAAGTGAGGATTTTTAGACCATATAGCTCTTCCGTCTCCAGGGAATCCAGTGACAGCTCTTAGCAGAATCAACACTGACAGGATGACAGGTCTTGGCAGTCTCCCGTTGGACATTGTATTCCTATAGCGTGAGGTTATTTCATCAGGGCTGAAGAAAACCCATTCATTCCCTGGAGATCCTGTCTGCAGCAGCTAACTGCTAGACTGTCTTATCAACGCCTCAGTAAAAGCTTGTGATTGTAAAGCGCTGTCAATGATTAGCTTGAACTGGGAGGCTCAGGATGGGTCACAGAGAGCAACGTAATGTGAGGGAGGTGGCCTAGGACGGTCACCAACACATCTTCTGTCTCATTTTGGGAGAAATTAGATAAAAATATGCCAGTGACGGTAGTTTGAATATGTAACTTAATTTTTGTATTTGTCAACACCAAATACAAATGACATATTTTCTGTGTGGTCTTTTATATCCACCCAAATCTTTTCTGAAGGTTTCAACATTGTTGAATAAGGTATATATGCCTTTTCTGTTTTTAGGGTTTTTGAGTGGTGATTTTATTATCTCTCATTTCAGGAAAAACAATCTTATATACAAGTAAATGACATTCCTATATACCTATAGTAAAGAATTAGGAAACACAATAAGACGTAACACTTCCCCACAAAAAATTATAACATATTTAGCAATAATCTTAATAAACGTTACCTATTTTAAGGAAATTATAGAAATGTATTGATGGATTTGAAAGAAGACTTGAATGAGGGAATATAGCACTTTCTGAATGGAAAAACAGAATATTTTCCCATTTAATTTATAAATTTAATGACTTTTAACCCAAATCCTCAAATCCCATATTTTAGTTCTACAAAAGTATCATGAAGTTTACTTGAATAATAAATAGGCAAAATTAATTTTAAAAAAGAAAGAAGCCAGATGTGGTGGCTCATGCCTATAATCCCAGTATATTGGGAGGTAAAAGCTAGAAGATTGCCTTAACCCAGGGGTTCGAGACCAGCCTGGGCAACTTGGCGAGACCTTGTCACTACAATAACCAAAAAAAAAATTAGCTGGGCGTGGTGGTTCGTGCCTGTAGTTCCTACTACTTGGAAAGCTGAAGTGGAAGGATTGCCCGAGTCCAACAGGTAGAGGCTGTTATGGCTGTGAGTGTGCCACTGCACTCCAGCCTGGGCAACAGATAGAGTGAGATGCCTACTCAAAATAAAAATAACAACAATAATAATAATAATAAATAAAATGAAAAAGAAAGAAAAACTTGGTAAAGAAAATAGTGAAGGCACAGATGTACCTTCAGATATTCAATTTAGATATTGAAACATAAAACGTAATTTAGACCGCATGATTCTGGAATAAGAATAAGTAGAAATAGTGTATATAGCCTCTAAATAACCTGTAAAAAATTTAATATATATTATTTTAAATATATATATTATAAATACATATATTGCATTTATTTAAATATATATTTATTTATATATTAAAATACATTTCAAATATATATATATATAGTGGAACTTTTCTTTTCTTCCTTTCTTTCTTTCTTTTTTGAGTCAAGATCTCACTCTGTTGCTTAGGCTAGAGTGCAATGGCGCAACCATGGCTCACTGCAACCTCAACCTTCTATCTTAGCCTTCCATGCCTCCTGAGACTACAGGCACACACAAACATGCCCAGATGATATTTTTGTAGTGACAAGTTCTCACTATGTTGCCTAGGCTAGTCTCAAACTTCCAGGCTCAGGCAATCCTCCTGCCTTGGCCTCCTAAAGTGCTGAGATTACAGGCGTGAGTCTTGGCATCTTGCCTTTTTTTTCTTTGAAGTAATATACATTAATGAGAGGAAATGTGGTTAATGGTTTGGCCTCTGTGCCGGGCATGGTGGCTTGTGCTGTAATCCCAGCTACTTGGGAGCCTGAAGTGGGAGGATTGCTTGAGGCCAGGAGTTCCAGACCAGCCTGGGCACATAGAGCAAGGTCTCCCCACCCCCACTCCATCTCTAAAAAAAAATATGATGAATTAAAAAATAATAATTTGGTCTCTGAGGCAGACTACTCGAGTTTAAATATAGTTGTGCAACTTGGGACAAGTTATCTAAACTTTCTGCACCTCAGTTTCCTCTTAAGCAAGAAAAATCATATTAAATATATGTACTTTATGGATTGTGAGGATTAAATGAGTTTAATACATGTAAGACACTTAGGGCCAGGCTGGGTGGCCAGCCTGTAATCCAAGTACTTTGGGAAGCTGAGGCGAGTGGATTGCCTGAGCCCGCGGGTTCGAGACCCTCCTGGGCAGCGAGACCTCATCTCTACAATAAATCAAAAAATCAGCTGGGCATGGTAGTGCATGCCTGTAATTCCGGCTGAGGCAGAAGGATCGCCGGAGCCCAGCAGGTCAAGGCTGCGGTGGCCGGGAGCGGCCACTGCACTCCAGTCTGGGCGACAGAGTGAGACTCCAACTCAAAAAAAAAAAAAAAAAATAGACACTTAGAATAGAAAATAGCACATAGTAAGTGCTCAATAAACATTACTCTTCCAGCCTGGGCAACTTGATGAGACCTTGTCTCTACAATAAATAAATAAATAAATAAATAAGCTGGGCATGGTGGTGCATGCTTGTAGTTCTAGCTACTTGGAAGGCTGAGGCAGAAGGATCGACTGAGTCCAGCAAGTGAAGGCTGCATACAGAGGCCGTGAGGGTGCCGCTGCCCTCCAATCTAGGTGACAGAGTGAGACTCCCAACTCAAACAGAGTATTACTTTTAATTTTGTGTGAGAGGAAATAATTATTCAGGAAGTGGTGGGATTGACACTCTGTTCTGATCCTGCCTACATTTTTGGCTTTACTTCTCATCACTTGACTACATGCAGCACCCTTCTCTTCAGCTATAATAAAGTTTACTTGAAGAATACATAGGCAACAATTTTTTTTTTTTTTGAGTTGGAGTCTCACTCTGTCACCTAGGCTGGAGTGCAGTGACATACTCACGGCCACGGCAGCCTCAACTTGCTGGGCTCAGGCGATCCTTCTGCCTCAGCCTTTCAACTAGCTGGAACTACAGGCGCACACCCCACCACACCCAGCTAATTTTTAAATTTACTTTAGAGACGAGTTGCCCAGGCTGGTCTTGAACCCCTGGGCTCAGGCAATCCTCTCACCTCGGCCTCCTAAAGTGCTGGGCTTACAGGAGCGAGCCATCGTGTCTGGCTTATTTTTAATAACAGAAAGAAAAACTTGCCAGGCGAGGTGCTTCAGGTATTCCCAGCACTTTGGGAGGCCGAGGTGAGATCGCTTGAACCCCAGGAGATCGAGACCAGCCTGGGTAACACAGCGAGATCCCATCTGTACGAAAAATAAAAAATGAACCAGGTGGCAACTCTCACCTGTAGTACCAGCTACTTGGGAGGCTGAGGCAGAAGGATTGCATGAGCCGACGAGGTCAAAGTTGTGTTGAGCCATATGATGCCACTGATTCCTGCCTGGGCAACAGAATGAGACCCTGATGAAAGAAAGAAAGGAAGGAAGGAAGAGAAAGGGAGAGAAAGCGAGAGGGAGGGAGGGAGAGAGAGAGAGAGAGAGAGAGAGAGAGAGAGAGAGAGAGAGAGAGGAAGGAAGAGAAAGGCTGGGTGCGGTGGCTGACGCCTATAATTGCAGCATTTTGGGAGAACTAGGTGAGAGGATTGACTGAGCCCACAGGTTCGAGACCAGCCCAGGCAACTTGGCAAGACCTCATATCTACAATAAAAAATAGAAACAAAATTAGATGGGCATGGTGGCACATGCCAGCTACTTGGAAAGCTGAGGTGGAAGGATCCCCTAAGCCCAGCAGGATGAGGTTGTGGTGGCCATGAGCCTTGCCACTGCACTCCAGCCTGGGCAACAGAATGAGACTCCAACTCAAAAAAATGAAGGAAAGGAAGGAAGGGAGGAAAACTTGATAAAGAAAACAGGGAAGACATAGATATACCTTCAGATATTAAATTCAGATATTGATTCCTTCAGATAGTAAAACAAAAAATAACAAAGTAGACAGCATGATTCTGGAATAAAAATAAATGTATGCAACTTTTTCTTTGAGTCAGAGTTTCACTGTCACTCAGGCTGGAGTGCAGTGGCATGTTCATGGCTACCACAGTCTCAAATTGCTGGATTCAGGTGATCCTTCCACATCAGCATTCCAAGTAGCTGGAACTACAGGCATGCGCCACTACGCCAGGCTAATTTTTTGATTTATTGTAGAGATGAGGTCTTGCCAAGTTGCTCAGGCTGGTCTTGAACCCTTGGGCTCAGGCAATACCCTCGCCTCAGTCTCCCAGAGTGTTGGGATGACAGGCGTTAGCCACTGCACCTGGCTAACATATGCAACTTTTTTTTTTTTGAGTTGGAGTCTCTCTCTGTTGCCCAGACTGGAGTGCAGTGGCCGCTCCCAGCCACCGCAGCCTCGACCTGCTGGGCTCCTGCAATCCTTCCGCCTCAGCCTTCCAAGTAGCCGGAATTACAGGCATGCGCTACCACGCTCGGCTGATTTTTTGATTTATTGTAGAGATGAGGTCTTGCTGCCCAGGCAGGACTCGAACCCGTGGGCTCAGTCAATCCACTCACCTCAGACTCCCAAAGGCGAGGGATTACAGGCTGAGCCACCGAGCCCGGCTACATATGCAACTTTTAAACAGTTAACATTCCTTCTCGCTTACATCTCTGTACCTTGGTCTGTGTGGCAGGTGTTTCTCCCTTCATCTAGCTCATGTCCATCTGTTTCTTTTCTTCTTCCTTTTTTTTGTACAGGTGGAATCTCACTATGTTGTCCATGCCGGTGTCAAACACCTGACCTCAAGCGATCCTCCCGCCTCAGCCTCCCAAAGTCCTGAGATGACGGGTGTGAGTCACTATATCCAGCTGTCTACCTGTTTTAAAAAATTCAGGGGGGAGGAGGATGGGATTAACAGTAGCAAATATCTGTCTGGGGATGGGAAAACACCTCTTATCAACAGGGTGCCTGAATGAAATGTAATTGTACACCTAACCCTTAACTGTACACCGCAAAACCATAATAAAAAATATTGATTAATTAAAAAAGAAAAGAAAAACAAAATTCAGATACCTCCTCTGGAAGGT